CAATCAATCATTTTAGGTTTCATTTGTTAATTAAATTTTTAGTAAGGAATTTATCCCTATTTTTTCTTAAAATTAATATTATTTGGAATAATGAAGTGAAGTTAGGAGAGAGGAACAAAAAAAAAAACTGTAAATGACTTTTATCTCTTTTCTACACACTACACAAAATGACATCCCACCACATTTTTTCTTTGAAGAAAAGGCAAAATGATTACCATTATAGTAAAATTAACAGTCTACATCACATCTTTAGTTACCTGTAAAAAAGTCACCGAGAAACGGTGAAAAAACAGGAGCTGTTTAAGCCTTCCACATTTTATCTGAATTTTAACTAATAACTACAAGTAATCCTAACCCATATTATATGATTGAAAACAGATTAGCTCTTAAAAATAAGTCATTAATTATCAATTAGGATAGATTAATACATATGTTATGCTTATCGTTATTATTAAATACTCCTCCGGTCCTAATTATAAGACCCAATTGACTTATTTGAGGAGATTAAGGAAGTAAGTTAAGTTGGTTATTTATAATAAATAAGTGTTGTCATTCCTAAAATATCCTTGCTAATTAAGTATATTGGCTAAAACTATCATTATTAGAATGATTATCTTGGAAAAAAATGCATAAATATAAGAGACAAAATGGATTGGGTCTTATAATTAGGACCAAATAAAAAGTCAAATTGGATCTTATAATAAGGACCGGAGGAGTAGTTGATAGTTGATGTTTTTACATTTCAGAATGATTAGATGAATGAATTAAATTAATTGATTTTTTTGACCAGCCAAGTTAATTGATTAATTAATTGGATGGATAGTCTAGTTATATCAACAAAATTATTTTTTCTTAACCATATAATATGCGAAGTTAGATTTTCATAATCATCATTAATCCAGTACTCGCCTAGTTCTGCCAATCTACGCCTCCAATGGCTTCTGCTATTCCATTTCCATGAGCTACAGACACATACACCGAAGGGGAGAGGTGTTTCTCTTCGCTCCCTGACATTATCCAATTGCGCCCTGTGGTGGATCGACCATACGACTATACCAGCAGGCCACCCAACCCTCCTTTCTTCATTGTTCTTCTTTCTTCGCGCGATCGCGGGTTTCGCAATGGCGCGAAAATCGGCTCTGAAGCGAACCCTCGTTACGTTCTTCGTCGCTTTGGTCACTTTTGCCTTTTTCAGCACCTTCTTCAACCCCACCAACGTTGCCAATTCCTCCGCCAAAATCGATGACACCGCCTTCTCGTCTAATTCAGCTAAAACTGCTTCCGTCGTGCTCAGGGAGAGCAATCATCGCTCTGGGAATTTGCCTGTCAAAGTCTACGTCTATGATCTTCCCACCAGGTTCACCTATGGAGTCATCGAGCAACATTCCTTGGCGCGTGGTGGTAGACATGTCGATGATGTGACCACTCTCAAGTACCCAGGACATCAGCACATGTCGGAGTGGTACCTTTACTCTGATCTCATGCGGCCCCAGTCCGCGCGTGCTGCTTCGCCTGTTGTTAGGGTATTGGATCCCGAGGAGGCAGACCTTTTCTTTGTGCCGTTCTTTTCTTCTCTGAGTTTGATTGTGAACCCGATTCGCCCCCCCGGTACGACGGACTCTGAGAAGCCTGTTTATAGTGACGAGCAGAATCAGGAGGTGCTGGTGGAGTGGCTGGAGGAGCAGGAGTATTGGAAAAGGAATGATGGGAGAGACCATGTGTTTGTTGCTTCAGATCCGAATGCGCTGTACCGGGTGGTCGATAGGGTAAAGAACAGTGTGTTGCTTGTGTCGGATTTTGGGCGTCTGCGACCGGACCAGGGATCCATTATTAAGGACGTCGTAATACCATACTCTCACCGAATCAGAGTTTATGACGGTGATGTTGGTCTCGACAATCGCAAGACGTTGTTGTTCTTCATGGGCAACAGATATCGCAAGGAGGTAATAAATAATGTTTAGTTTTACATCTACATGTGATGCTCATAAATTTGGTAGTTATAATTCATGCTATTTTGAGCTTACTTTTATTATGGATTTTTGCTTTTTGGATGAGGTTTAGTTTGTGTCCGATTGATATAGTACATGTCAGAAATGAATGATCCTCTGTTGATATTAGATTGGATTGGTGGGTGGTTATTCTTCAGAAGATGTGCGAGCGAGTAAGCTAATGGGAAAGCGTAGATGAGATTCAGATTTTGAAAGGAAATTGATTGATGCTTTCAACATCGTGGATGTTGAAATGTTTCCATTACATGTGCTTTGCATGGACACAAAAAAAGAAAAAAAATGTTTTGAATATATAAGAAAGGAACAAAATTCGTTGCACTAGACATGGATCCATATATGATTGCCAATCATTCAATATTTTGCTATGAGGTTTGGATTGTGATCATTACTTAACTCCTGCCGTCTCTTTCTCGGATGAGCATAAGAACTTTGGTCTAGCCTTCCATAAATGTTGGCAGAGCTAGTGCCACCTGCAATGTTAAACCTTATTCATTTTTAATTTTTTTATTTAAAAAAGCACCTTGATTTGGATTCTTTTCATTGAAGATAACTGCTGTAAGCACTCTTCACCACTAGAAGCTTGCATTCATGCAGTTTCTCCATAATTTTCTATGATGAGGCCTTTTCCCTTTCAGAGTTTCTTTTCTCTTCATAGTCAATTTTGCCAAAGCAATCAGCAATCATCATATTATAGGGTGGGGCCATTGAGAGAGTCGAAAGAGTCTGTTGATATATTAAGCTTGTTGATTGAAAATTATCTATGTCAAGAGGCTACTATAATAACTTACGAGCTTTAATTGAGCTTCAACTTCCTTACACTGGTTTTGGTCATAGAAAAGTTCTCCTCTCCTTTGGTCTTTATTTTCAGAAACACTATCATTTTCTCCAGGGATTCTGAAACTGAGTTTTCTTTTTCCTACTGTCGTGCAAACCATGGACCATCATTCCGCACCTTCATTTGCCTTTTTTTTTTTTTTTTTTTTTCATTTGCCTAAATTGCAAGTAAAATACAAAAAATAAAAAGCAAGGAAGTATAGTGCCTTGGTGCAGGAACTCTCTTGGGACAATTTCTTCCTGGAACTGATTTCCTTATATTCCAATCTCTTTGACAGGGAGGCAAAATTCGTGATACACTCTTTCAAATTCTTGAAAAAGAAAAGGATGTAATAATAAAGCATGGAGCACAGTCCAGGGAGAGTAGACGCGCAGCTTCACAAGGAATGCATACATCGAAGTTCTGTTTACATCCTGCTGGAGATACTCCATCAGCTTGCCGACTCTTTGATGCTATTGTTAGCTTGTGCGTTCCAGTGATTGTTAGTGATAGTATTGAATTGCCATTTGAAGACACTATAGACTACAGAAAAATTGCAATATTCGTAGAATCTACTGCTGCTATAAAGCCTGGATACTTGGTGTCAGCGTTGAGAGCGGTATCTCCAGATAGGATCCTTGAATATCAGAAAGAACTAAAAGAGGTTAGTAATGGTGGGATGAAAATTTTTTTGCATTGTACATGTGTTTAATGTGCATTACGACATGATGAGTTACGTTTTCGACCAAACTGAATTGTGATAAGGAATGAGAACCAGTTTCTCTTGCTCATTGGCCCCTGTTATTAATCATGGAACACGTGGTTTGAACTATATACTCTGATTGCATTTTTTTCCCTTATTCTAAGTGCATGGCAATTGTCTAGTCTGTTTTAGATCCAAGTGTGTTGGAATTTGTGACCATTTAATCAGCATTCAATCTGAATTACAAATAGATTAATTGAGTTTTAATTAAAACTTGGGTGAGCCGTTTACGATAGTGAAAATCTCATTTTTCATGATTATGCATTTTTGTTTCAATTTTTTAGTCTTTGTTTCCTCACTTGCATGGCTAATACAGGAGCCAATCTTGTTTGCTTCAAATTGAGTTATGTTTCTCCCCTCTTCCCCCCCCCCCCCCAAAAAAAAGATGACAAGATATTGACATGTTATATCTCGTTGCAGGTGAAGCGATACTTTCAATATGCGGAATCAGATGGAACAGTTAATGAAATCTGGAGACAGGTTTCAAGGAAGCTACCCTTGATCAAACTGATGATTAACCGTGAGAAAAGGCTGGTCAGAAAGGATTCTGACTGCTCTTGTGTGTGTACAAACCGGACTGCAGTTAGTACTCTATAGCGGCTCTTTGGTGAGTGTATGTTTTATTTTCACTCTTGGAGGGCTATCTCACTAGTCAAGGGACGAGTTCACCATATTCCAAGATTCCTGGCACGTTTTGTGGTAGATGCCACCATACAAATATAAATTTTCATAAGACACGATTTGATAACTTGGTTGTACCTTTATTTGTACAGGATAGAATATACAGCAATTTGACTATTCTTTTAATTCTTTGAAAGGTTCCCGTTTCTTTATTTACCTCTAGTTCTGTCAAGATGGATTTGTTGCCATGGCTCACTCATGAAATGTCTAGGTTAGATTTGTCACCATGACCTCACTTCTATTTTATTGTTACATTCTTGATATTTTTTGTTTATATTAGTAGGTACATAATTTAAATTTAAAGTCTTTAAATACTCGAAGTCTTGCTACCTGCCGTAGAAGCTTTCGGATCCAATTCACTTCCAAATTCCTATTAATCTAACCTTAAACAGAAATCTTCAATATTTTTGCGTCAACGGAGATTTTTGCATTTCAATGTATCGCGCGAGGATTCTTAAACGAAACGCATCATTTTCTATAACTAAATGTGACGTGAGATCGCTGAGACACTTGAAAAAAAAAAAAAAAGACCAAATCGGCTAACAAGTCTCCACATCCCAGAAGTTGGAGCAAAATAGTCGTAATTAGCTTGATGAGCCAATCATTTTATATGGGTGTTCGTTTCAACATGCGGATAATTTTATACTCTCATGTCACATGCATTCATTACTTCTTTTAACGGGCAGGAGCTTTGTAATCTAACATCTTCCTAATATTTGCAATAAGATAATCATAGCAAAAGAAATTCATCATCCTGCTTAAATAAGCCCTTGTCGAATTAACCACAGAACTAAGATCAATGGCCCCATGTAGCTAGATGGTTTACATTATGTCTGTAATAAAGACAGCTCTCATGCAGAAGCAATCATTATCCATGTGAGGTTATCAGAGGAGGAGCTGTTAGGCCGGGCTGTTATTGTGACATGGGACGATGATAACAATAATAGAAAAGGAGATTTAAGTTTCAAATTCTAACAGCCATTGCTTTTCAATCTTCAACCTGGTGGCCATTTCATCTGTCTCCCACCTAATACATGCAAGTGCAGATGATACACAGATTGACCTGCTCATAATAAAAGAGAGAGAAGGAGGATGAATGGGATTGGCAGCAAAAATGGCTCATTAAGCAACTGAAACTAAACCCACACAGAAATGAGCTTACAGGCACTGGGACCGTTGTTGATGACCACACGAAATCCATCAACAATACCTTCCTTCTCAGCCACTATTTTTGCAGCATACAGAAGCTGACCTAGTATCTCCTCATGTCTAGGATCAGCCTGCAAAGATGCTACATATCCAATTAAAATCGCCACACACACATGCACACACACAGTAACACGCACATCTTTCGAGTTTATGGATCCCTGAATTTATGAACAATCAGTGAAGTTTAGAAAGCGGATTTTATATTAATCACACAGTCCGTCGCTGCTATGATGGTAATCATTTGAAATGCATACTAAATAACGATTGAAAATCTCACCAATTCCATGCTTATGAAGAAAAAATTGAAATCTATAGAAAACAACAAACAAGAATTGGAAAAACATATCAATCAAACAGGAAGAGAGTCACATATCCTACAAACCACGGTATATGAAGCCAACTTTCTGCCCCTTGAATCAAACAAAAGCAATTACCTTTCTTTTCTTTACTCTTACTACTTATCCTCTTGGACAGGAAGGAAACACGTAGTTTCTCTTTTGTTTCCTGTTACTTCCTTTCTCCAATCATTGCCTACAAATCTTCCTACAGCAGAAATTTGAGAAAACAGCAGCTAAACCTCATTTTACAAGATACACTGCCTATAGCGGTCACTACTTGGAAGGTTAACCCCCCCCCCCCAAAAAAAAAAAAACACAAAAGAGAAAAAAAGCACAGCACAAACATATCATACAAAATTTTCTTCCACGTACAAAAAAACAATATGCAAAGGGTGACTTATTACCTTCCCAAGCTGCGTCAGTCCATCTCTAAATTTTGGAATGACCAAAACATGAACTGGTGCCTGGGGATTAATGTCCCGAAATGCTAGGACCTTTTCATCTTCATACACAATGCTTGAAGGGATTTCCTTATGTATGATCTTGTCAAATCTGATAGATAAAAGGGTTACCAGATTGAACACCAGGAAAAGAAAGAACAAAAATAAAACAATCAGACAATTAAGCAATTATGTTACTATACTTGTTCTTTCATACAGGATACATGGCTGTCCTGATGTCTAAAATATTATCATTGATTTAATGAAAATACCATTATGTACAAATTACGTTAAGATCAAGGAAGACATTGGTCATCCTTTATCCCAAAAGGCATTTCGAAGAATCATATCGTTTTTTTTTTTTGGTTAATAAAGACTCGTATCATATTTACCAGAGCCTGAATGGCCATACCCAGCTACAATTCATTTCCGAGTGAAATCCTGTGAAAGATATTCAAAATCCTTTCAATACATTTTCCAAAACTCAGTCTAAAACATTCTTTCCGAGGGACAGAGAAGTTCAACAATGTTGATAATTTTGGCTGATTTCTACTATGAAATCACACGGAGATACTTTATATTTTATGTTTCATCACAGTAATTCACTTCTCTGTGACAAGGAAAATGACTGAGCTATAAATGTTGAAACCCCAACATTTAAATATTTGCAAAACTTGCCAGCTCAATTATGATAAACTTGGGAAGTCCAAAATAAAATATTCCAGAGTGATAAGCAAGCAGTGTGTTAAAGACTGAGAGTCAGAATGGCTGTACATTGTTGGGGCTCCACTATCAGCATCGAGAGCAGCTGCTTTCGCTGCAGTCTCTTCATTATTTGTGGCACCAGTACTGAAAGGCAATCTGTACTATAGGTCAGTTGCTAAAGTTATTCAGAGACGAGACAAAAAACATTCTGAAAAGGACAAAGTTAAGATACAACTTCTAGGTGCTTTCTATTAAGTTCTCCCACATAAATATAACTAGTATATATTCTTTTACATCTTCTCTCACATGATTGTCTTCCACAAAACTCCCTTGACATGTGATGTTATCTTTAGAAAACCTAATAATGAGTGCCAAAAGAAACCTTACCTAATCATAGTTCTTTTGAAATCCAGCATGCAGTATTTGGCACCAGAAACAGGTTCAGGTTGTCCACAATGTTTAAAAAAGAAGAAGAAGAAGAAGTCTTGTATACTAAAAGGTAAAACTAAATATCATGCTTTTCACTAAAGATAACAATGGTAATAAACTCAAAAAACTACCAAGGTACACAATACTTGAAAATTTCCTACGGATATCAAATTTAATAAGCGGGCTCACTTGATTAGTCCAAGGTAAATAGATTGGTACATAAAATTGCACTCTATCTGAATCTATTATGTCTGCGCACCATTACAAGTACACTACTATCATCTTGATAATTGATGTATTTTAGCTACAACCACATTCCTCGGATTTATTTTCATAATTTCTCCCTAACAGGAATTTTATTCGTCTTGTCATGATAGCTTAGGCAATGAGCTGAGTCAAAGTAAATTTATACACCGAATACTCTGACTACAAAATGATTGGTACAATAACATCAGTTCTCTTTCGCTTTCTTTCTCCAAGAACACTCCCTGTATTTCCTTATTGTGTTCCTATCTTTAACCTCAATAATGCTAGAACTTTTGAATGCTTTCCTCATTAAATTATGATGCAGTAGTTAGCACCTTGGTAAGAATTGTCACTTGCATTCTTAAAGAACAAATGATATGCAAAATTAAAACATAATCTTTTTAATAGTACGACGATATTTTTAAATCTTTACTAAAGTCAAAACCCTTCGTTCCCGTTACACTTCGGAGATTAGATTTCTTCCAGAAAAGAAAAATGATTTTTTTAACTCTTTGACTACTACTAATGCAAGTTATCGATCCTCTTAACTGTCATTTTTCTCCATAATAACCTATTTGAAACCTGAATTTCGCAGAACCTTCTATTGTAATCTGCTTCATTCCATCCATTATTCATCTATCTCTCTGCAATTTCCCTCATTTTGCCAGCTTCGCAATCCGTAAAAACTTAAAACAGCAAAACGCTAATTATACGGAGCTAACGATTTATTTCTAGCGCAAAATATGCAAACGAAGCTAAGTAGAGAAGGAAGAGATGAAAGTAACACCTGCGAGATTGGATAGGAAGAATAAACTTGGAGAAATTGTGGTTTGCCGCTTTCACGAAAGGCACGAAAAGTCTTGGTGATATCAATGCCGAGGAGTTCCTGACAAGTATGCGAAGCCAGACTCAATATCACATAAACAATCCGGCAATGAAGAATTTGTATTGTACCTAATCAGTGAGAAAGGAATTGTCGCAGCCATAGCTCCCAATGAAGCAGAGCTGATATCACCTCATTTTTTTGGGAAAATTTCTAGCGAGGGAAATATATTGAGGACTTACCTACTGCGGACGGGTACTTCCAGAGAATGTAAAATCTCTCATCTGCACCGTTGAAGTTGGTGGGCCATGTCACTGTCGTGATTAACATATCTTGTGGTTCTAAAATTGCATTTCGTTTTCCGATTTGCTCGTTAAAAAAACATAAAGAAAAGAAGATTCTCCAACAGAACAGGAAAAAATGGCGAATTTTGTTCTTCAGGTTCCAAGTCGGTTGAGGAACTTCCCAGTCTTTTCTTCGTCCAACGGTACTTGCTATGATCTCTTATTTCTATCAATGAGAAATAGTTTCTCCTTCTTTTTCCTATTAATCTGTAATTATTAAATTATAATATTCCTCAGTTAATTGATAACTATTATTTGGTTTATATGGATTAGGGGCTTCTCCTACTGCTTCTGGAACGGGAAGTGGTGGTGCTGCAGGACCAGTGATTCTGGAGCTTCCTCTAGAGAAGATAAGGAGGCCATTAATGAGGACAAGGGCAAATGATCCTGACAAAGTGAAAGAACTTATGGATAGTATTAGCGAAATTGGACTTCAAGTTCCTGTAAGCACTTGTTTCCCCTGTTAAATTTTCTTCTATTTCTTGTTCCCTTTGGGGCTTTGTGTAATTGGGTTTTCTCTGTTTGGTTTCTGGGAAAATGCTTTGAGGGAAGTTCATAGAGGGAATTCTGATGGATGGTTTGTTTGAGCAAGGATTGTCACTGCAAGTTGGTCTCTAGCAATATACAAAGAGGGAACTTTGTTGAGTTTATTGTTGGTGCAACGATTTTCACTGCAAGTTGCTAAACTCATCACTATTATTTGTTTGAATTCTCACCGAGGAACCGCTTTTGTTAGACAACTTCTGTGGTAAAGATGATTTGCTTTCGGTTTTCCCACTGGTTGGTTTCTCGGAAAATGATTTTTGTGGGAATACTGCGTGAATTATGACGGGTTTCTTGTTGAAGCAAGCGTTTCCGCTGCAAGTTAATCTCCAGCGTTAGAGAGTTCGTTTCTATGATTTATTCTGAGTTTAATATGTTTTGCACCGCCAGGTGAAAATAAGATTATCAGCTTTAGGTTTCCCCTTAAGTTGGTTTCTAAGAAAAAAATTACCGAGGGGTTAAGATGAATTATGCTGAATTTGTTGGAGCGAGAATTTTTAGTGCAAGTTGATCTCCAACAAGTTTACGGTTGGTATGAATCTTTAAAATTTATAAGAAAAATCTACTCACTTTTTTACACTAAGCAGCAATATTCAAGCTTTCTAATGAGCATAGAGTGAAGCTTTTTCTGGCAAAGTTGTTCCCTGAAAACTTCAAGCTTTGCTTCCAATGGCAAACATCTTTCGTATGTTGTTTTTTCATAAAGAAATATGAATTACTCAGGTGTGGAATTTCTATTAACTATAAGAACTTGATGTCATTGGGTATTTCCCAAATGAAAGTCCGTGTTTTGTTGCATTGTTAAGTGTGGTTTGATGCAACTTGGTATGTATAATCGTATCATCCTCCTAAGTCATATTCAGTGCATGCCTTTTTTTCTCCAATCACTTGTAAGGGATATAAGATGTGTAACTAATTATAGGAAATGTTTAGTTTAGCTGCAAGCTGGATTTTTGTGTTCATGTAACACTAGTGTTTCCTCTTGTTTGGGCTAAATGTAATTTTGATTCATCAAAATATCACGGACAGAGCTACTAAGTTATCTGACTTTTATTGATCCAGATTGATGTTCTCGAGGTTGATGGAGTCTATTATGGTATGTACAAAATCTTGTAATTTATGAACTTCCCTTGCATGGTATAAAGTATCACCATTTAGCCATTTTTTATTGTGATATTCAACAGTAACAGAACCCACACATTAGAACACAATCACAAGTTCAACCATTTACTGTGCATCATAGCTTCAACACATTTTCATTCGCAACACAATCAGGTTGCTCTGGTCTCTGAAGAGTGTGTAGATTTACTATTATTCTTCTTAAACGGACAAAATTGATGGTTAAAACTACTATATACTATAGCTCAAGGGTAAATCATGATTAGTTTAGGTATATGAGAAAGGAGTTATGTCAGAAATCAGGAAATTGAGAGAATGTTGAAAGATCTTGCGTGGTGGTCTCAGTCAAAGATTGATATATACTTCTGTTTGATTTGCAGGCTTCTCTGGCTGCCACCGCTTTGAGGCTCACCAGCGCCTCGGGCTTCCAACCATCCGGTGCAAAGTTCGCCGCGGTACAAAGGAGACTCTAAGGTTTGTCATTTTGTTTTAGTGAACTCTAAACAAAAGCTTGGTGAGGTAAATTTGCCATCTCTGCTGATAAAGGATTTGGTTTATCATCATGCAGGCATCATTTGCGCTAGCATCATATGGTCATGAAAATATATTTAGGCATGTCACAAGTATATCTTAGCAGAATCCTTCTATAAGGGAGTTCAGTTCTCAATCTGTCAAAGAATTTCTTAGCTGCTTCCTGTGGTTCCCATCCATTACTTGACAGTCTTCTGTGTGTTGTTGACCATGGAATATGAGTCAATGGAATCTGACTATAATATATGAAGATGCCAATGTTTCATGCCCAGAAGAGTAGAGGAGACAGACCTGAAAGCTCAGAAAGAAGGAAAGGATAGTGCACTCTTTGACAGTGATCTATGAAAGATTCATTTATATCTTCTGTATAAATTTTTAGCTATGGCTTTATGTTTATATCTGGTAAGTGTAATAATCTCCATATTTGGTCTTAATTATAAGAGTTAGTTGACTAATTTGAGGAGATTAAGAAAATAAATTAAGTTAGTTATCTGTAATAAATATATGTTGTCTTTCTTAAAATATCCTTGCTAATCAAGTATATTAGTTAGAACTACTATTATTAGAAAGATTTTCTTGTGAAAAAATGCATAACTATGAGAAACAAAACAGATTAGGATCAAAATAAAAGTCAAACGAGGTTTTATATTAAAGACCGGAAGTAGTATATACAGTAGGGCACCTAACTACGGGAAAAAAAAAAGTTTGGAGGAGAAAGAAAATGTTTAAATTCTTGATGAAAATTAAAAAAAATGGAAATAAATTTTAACGTGATAGTTATGAAATGTTACGTAACTCATTTTGAAAGAATAAAGGTCTCGTTGCCAAACTCTCTAATTTTCCTGCTTAATTAAAGCTTTTAAATTATTTGTAACTGTTATTCCTTTTTTCAAATAATAAAGAAGAATACATTTCAATTTCAAATTTATGATAAAAGTTCGGGTGTATTCTCCATGGTGTGTCATTTTCTTTATTATTTGTTACACCGTGTTATTTGCCACAATGCCAATAAAAATTTTCAATTTTTAGTTCACTCACGGCATCAATAATTTATTTTTGTAAAATAAAGTAACACATAATTATTCATCTATATATATTGATTGATACATAATGTAAAATTTATCAGGAGTAACATAATTAAAAATTATAAAAAGTACCACAAATATATAATTTACATTGAAAGATTAAATTACAAGTTTAATTCAATTTTAATTAAAGTGAAAAAATATAAAAGTTTATACGAGTTTATAAAATGATAAAATAATACCAAATTCAGACTGCAATTTAATTATGGATTATTATTTTTAGACTTTTTGCCCTTTTCTTCCTTTCGTCTGGGTAAGTAAATCAACACAAAGTCAGGCCCAAAAAAAAAAAAAAAAAACAACAACAACAACAAAAGTACAGAAGCCGGCGAACTGAAACGCAACGAAACCGAGCAGAACCCTGGTTTCGGGGTTTAAGCCTGAAGGAGCCTCTTCTCCGATCAGTGTTTCTTCACCACAGCAATGGAGGGAGTGTCCTACGCTCGCATGCCCAGAGTCAAAATTAGAGAGCTCAAGGATGACTATGTCAAGTTTGAGCTCCGAGACACCGACGCTAGCATCGCCAACGCCCTCCGCCGCGTCATGATTGCCGAGGTGCCCACAGTCGCCATTGACCTAGTTGAGATCGAGGTCAACTCCTCGGTCCTCAACGACGAGTTCATCGCCCACCGCCTTGGTCTTATCCCCCTCACCAGTGACCGTGCCATGGCTATGCGCTTCTCGCGTGACTGCGATGCCTGCGACGGTGACGGCCAGTGTGAATTCTGCTCCGTCGAGTTCCACCTCAGGGTCAAGTGCATGACCGACGAAACCCTAGATGTCACCAGCAAGGACCTCTATAGCTCCGACCACACTGTGGTTCCTGTAGATTTCAGTGACCCTGCTGGTATGGAGGCTTCTGAGAACAGGTAATTCTCCAATGTGATTTCTTTCTTAATGGGAGGGAAAGCGAAAAAGAAAAATAATGCTCTTGACTTTCAAATCCGAAAACGGGGAATATAAATTAGTTGTTTTTATATATTTTCCTGTTTATCTAAGTTATGTCATTTTCAGAACTTAATTCATACTTGACCTGGCGAGCGTTTGTTTGTATGTTCAATGGACTTTTTCCGCTTAATGACATGCTCGAGTTGTATTTAGGGGGATTATAATTGTGAAGTTGCGTCGAGGGCAGGAACTGAGGCTGAGAGCAATAGCTAGGAAAGGAATTGGCAAAGATCATGCGAAATGGTCACCAGCCGCCACTGTAACTTTCATGTACGAGCCAGAAATTCATATAAATGAAGATCTCATGGAGACATTGACGCTTGATGAGAAAAGAGAATGGGTTGATAGTTGTCCTACCCGTGTGTTTGATATTGATCCTGTAACGCAACAGGTTGGTTTCTATTTGCTTATGCTAGTTATGCACTTTATACACTTTTCAGTGATTTCGCCACCGGTGCTAGTTCCTTCCATTTGGCCTTCCACTTATACTCTAGAATTTTGTGGGTGTGAACATTTAACCCTCCCTAGATTCTAGGTTTGGTGCTGAAATGATGGTTTGATGCACTGTAGTTCTGTATTTCACTATTTCTCTTTGGATCTAACCTTGCATGGACATGTTGCACTGCACTGTTCATGACTATAAGTTTATGATCATACTATGTGATCTGTAACCTTCTCCTCTTCCTGTTTGGCTTTCTGGGTTACAGTAGACAAGAAAGTACAATTGAGGGTACCTCTTGATGTCCTTTTTCTGGCTCTTCTTTGGTTTTTGTTTTTTTATGATGTGTAGTCCTTGTAGTTTGTAAAGATTGCTGGCAGTTGGTTTTCAAGTTTGGGTTTCAGTTGCTTTATGGCAGTGATCCTTAGTTTAAGCTCACAGAAACATAAAGACGGCACATGCCACAATAAAGATACACCTGGTTTCCAGAGTTTGGTGAATCTCTGAAGATATTTGTTTTGGTAACAACCTGCAGTTACTTCGGTTGGATCCAAATTGCTGAGGTGGTTATGGTTGCCAGAAATGTGATTAAATGTGGAGAAACATGGCTGATGCAGATTCCAATCATAGGCATGATGCAGTAGTGTGAAATTTTTCTTCTTTAAGATAGAGCTAACGATTTCATGAGTTTTAGGCTCTACAGAAGTGTCAAATGTTATAATTTGAGGAAGTTGTATGGCGATTCATGAAACAGCCTCTGATATTTGTTAAAATTGATATTATCCTGAGCTGAGGCGCATTTTCTTGAGAAGATACTCTTACTCAGTTCTTTCTTGCTGAATCAAATCTGAGTTTCGGAAATTGATATATCTGATTTGAAAGCTCAAAAGCTTCTGAAATTGGTGTATTCAGAGAAGACAACCCAAGTCTTTTCAATAGGCACTATCTGTGACTTGTGTTTATATATTTGAGTTACTCCGCATCATCTACCTTTTATAGGTGAGATCTACATGAGAACCTCTGATTGTCCCTAGTCAATTTAATGAATTTATCATAGCTAACTTGTTACCATCTACCAGGTTATGGTGGCTGATCCTGAGGCATATACTTACGATGATGAGGTGATCAAGAAAGCTGAAGCTATGGGCAAGCCTGGGCTTGTGGAAATCAATGCAAGGCAAGATTCCTTCATATTCGCTGTGGAATCTACGGGTGCAATCAAAGCTTCTCAGTTGTTATTGAATGCCATTGACGTTCTTAGGCAGAAGCTAGATGCAGTCAGGCTCTCAGACGACAATGTGGAAACTCTTGAACAGTTTGGTGAATTAAGTGCACATTTGTGAGGAGGTTGATCGGGAACAAAGGGACATAGATAGGAACAAATTAATGGTCAAAGTCAATCGTAACTAGATATATAAACATGTTATTGAATATGTTAATGCCTGTTTTATGATCAGTCTGATTAACTGATGTCTCGTGGATCGTCCTGCCCAAGAATTTCTGTTTGTTGATATTGTTCGGCCTAGAACTTGTTTTGTGGACCATGTATTGAAGTGAATAGCTGCAGCTTGTGCTGCCTTCCCTGAAATGCTAATTATCTTTCGAAGACAAAGTTACCGCTTTCACGTCTGAATCACTGGTTCTGTTTGAAAGATTGTGGCTGGCATATGGCGCCCCATAATTTTTCTTCTTCTGGCCGACGCCCTATTGAAATGAAATATCTTGTTCTTATGAGAAACGGGTGAGATTAGTATATATTACTAATATAATATTTCAAAATTCGACCTCAACTGGATTTTTCCGTTAGCTGTCTCATTTGCCAGAGTTGGGACAATGTTATAAATACGTGGAAATATGGGTATACGTTTTCTTTAGTTGTACAATATTTCATTATTAATATATATGCGTATGTATTGTTTAATTACGTAGTCACCAAATATAAGGTGCATTAAGACACATAATGAATTTAAATTCTATTAAATCCAACTAAAAATTATTTGTTGAATCAAGCGAATAATATTTAAAAATGAAATAACACCTTATTCCATATAAAGTTTGTATTTACTTGGGAAAAAAAAAAACGAGAAATATGCACTGTATTTTATTTCTTCCAAATTGTACGTCGACACATTTCAGAGGAAAATATTGAAGGTGAAAGAACTCGCATGGTAACAACAACCTAGTTTCAAACAACGAAACAACTCAGTTTCTCTGTCGCGTGGATGGACTAACAACAATTTTACATTCATTTCAAACCATTTATCTGATTAGAAAGCTACAAATCACTGTACTAATTAATTATGTTCTTAGTAGTAAATATGTTTTTCATAATAATAACATTTATAATTGGACCTTTGACCCATTGGTCGACGCCGCTGACTATGTAGAGATCTTAGTACCCCGTTCTTTGGTAGGACCACTATTACAAAGCAATACTGATGATATAGACATAAACTTGTATTGAACTACTCAGGCTACAAGAGGAATCGAAAGCGAAGTGCAATATACATTTTGCCAAAATTTGAGGGGAACCTGGAAATTAGCTAAGCTAGGGTGATGAATACCTGATCACTAGCAGCAGCTCTAATAACTTACTAGCCCTTTTTCTGTTGAGCGTTTTCCTCATCTTCCCTACTTGTATGCTAGAGGACCAGATCTAGATACAGCAAACCTCGGTAGGGGACTTGGTCCTGTGCTGCCAGAAGTTGAGCCCTCCACAAATTTCGCTCGATTTCGGCTTGAACTGTAATCCAGAGGACCTGAACGACGAACATTCCTGTGCTTGTTATCCACGCTCTTTGAGCCACCACTATCAGCTTCATAAAAGTGGTGCTCATGGCTGTGTGATGAAGATCCTTTGAAATAACCTGAATCATTGCTACCATACTGTGGTGTGGAGTCCCCACGAGGCTGCCGTATTACAGGAGACGCATGCGCTAGCAATATTGCAGGTGAGTGCCGTGGTGAAGAGCTCAATATTGCCAATGGAGCGGATGGAGTATCTGCATAGTATTGGCTGTATAAAGATCGGAGAATGGCATAGGGGACATGGGCTTCAAGTGAACTTCGCGGAAGGTATGGTGAGATTTCACAAAGTTGGTCAAGGAATATAAGCTGTGCTACCAGATGAGATCTGATAAAATAAATAAATAAAAAAACTCAGCATGAACCATGAAACAGTAAATGTTTCAGATAAACAGAGCACTTGTACCAAAGAAAGTCAACTGCAATCTATTGCAGCCATGCGTGCCTGTACATTCAAACGGACATATATTTGGTTCAACCACATGTTTTCTAATAGTCTGTATATATACTTACCTATTTGTTTCACTCCAAGAATCTAGAATAATCTCTGCAGAGCATTTCACAAATAACTGCATTGCGGACTTAATGCTTGCTTCAGCCGACATGTGGCTTGAATACTCAGGATCCATTGCCTCACTAGCATGTCCATTAGATAAAGACTGTCTCTGCTGATATTCACGTTCCAATCTAACAAATTCACTTCCTGCAAACACTGCAGAAATGCACCTGCCCAATATTCACTAAATTGGTAAGGAGAGTGAGACAGGACAAATGAGACAATGAGATATATGACAATCAAATCCTCTAAAAATTTTACCACACACTGATTCTCATTTCAGTTTCTAAAAGTTCAATCAACAAAATGAAACACTAAGACACTCTCAGTCCAAGCTGATAAAATTAACCAATGGCATTCGAATAGATAATAAGCATGCAAATACAAAATACAAATCATCATAGAAGCTTTAAACTCTACTCTTTTTACATTATAGCTATGAAAAATTATAATTCATTAGACCTGTGATACAATGCTAACCTTGCCAAGCAATGGATGTTGTTACTAAAACCCTCTGTGTCCACGTTGAATGCAGTAGTGGTCCAAATATTAGATGTCATGAATGTGGCAAATAAGTAGGGTAACAAGCTCCAGGAGCCATCATTCGCACCACCAACTTCTTCTAAAATTGATCTTACCCACTGTGAATCATGATCACTTACCACACCTTGAGTATTTGCCACTCTTCTCATTCTCCTGATCTCCCCCTTTTCAGGTATTTCATCAGGTAGATGCTTAACGATCCCAGCTAGAAGTGAATGTATCAGAGGAGCCCCTTCTTCAAGTATGGCACCAGCAGCCTCGGCTAGCAACCGATCAAATGCCAGAGCTAGGCCAGCCTGAATACAAAAACTAACTACAGTTTCCAGATCAACTATTTGTTTTATAGAAGCTTCTCTTTCAAATCTATCCCCAGAAAGGAGGCTGGCTGCAACTGTTTCCAATACATCGCGATTTGATCTTAATGATGTATCAATGCAATTTAAAAGTGCAGCAGTGTGTTCTTTCAGCATTCTGTCCAGCCTGTCAACTCCATAGCCACCAAATATACGTACAAAAGACTGCAATTCCCTGAGATCTGTAACTGAGTCTGCAAAATATCCACCAACAGGCCTTGTACTCTTAAAGCATTTATGAATTGGTACAAACAATATCCCAGCACCTGACACATCTTTGATTATGTTATCTATATACCAATTGCACACAGACTCTGTAGCCAATCCAGTATGTTGCTCTGCCGGCTTGTCAAACAAATGCAGCGAAGAAACAGGTCCACAAAAGGCTTCTGAAAGTAAAACTTCCCGAATGCCCTGGGTAAGATCCATGCTGATGTGTTGCTCTGCAAGATGCACAATGCTAACATGTCTTCGAATCAGGGACTCCAGAACAGAAGGCCGTTGAAGGTCATTATCAGTTTTCAATACTCCAAGCAATCTTCTCCTGAAGTTCCCAAGGATGCATTCTCTCATGTACTGCATGAATAGCTAAGCGTTAAAATAATAATACAAGGATCTATAGATTTACTAGTTCTAAACGTGTATTATGTAGGAATGGAAGTGGATGGATGCTAAACTTGTATTAATAATTCATTACATTAACATTTAGTCAATATTTGACCATAATATCAAGCTAAATACAATATAATTTATACTTCTTATAATAACACTCCAAAAGTCCTCAATTGCTCAAAACTAGCACTGATCAATAATTGCTTTCCACCAAGACAGCCTCTAGACTGTTTGCCTCAGCAACATTCTAAACTAAACCACAGAAAGTGATGGAGAAGAAGAAGATGCATTCCTAACCTCTCTTAGAACAAAGACGTGGTTCAATACACAAATAGGTTCCATGTCATTTAAAACAGAGCATAAGTTAGTCAGCCTCTGCATTGCAGCTTCTAGCCTGTTATCAAAGAAAAAGGAGAAAAAAGGCACTAGTTAGTTCCAGAAAATTTTGATTGTGTGGCTTGGCACACATGTACGGAGGAGATAACAAGAACATACATTTTGATAGAACTGTTGTTTTCAGGAAAGCTCTCGTGGCCAGGTAAAGCAAAACCAGCTGCTCCTTTAGGAGATTTATATGAAGGAATAGAAACTCTAGATGCATAATTCAGATAAGAAGCTGCTTGCTCAGGAAGAAGCTGATCCAGATATAACAGTAAGTTTTTAGTTTTGTGCTGTGGGACTAACTTGTTAAAGTAATCATAACTTTTACCTGATTCTCCAGTGCCCCAAATCCTCCCTCGGAGTCCAAAATGTTTATTAATCCTTCCAATCCTCCCATGATGGATTCAATCAAGGACTCAACATAAAGCACAGCATCCCTACCAATTTTTGTTACCTGATCGAACAAAATAAATTAAGTAACGACCCATATTGGAAACACTTCCAATCATCATGCATGCAGCTTTTTGTTTTGACGAATCAGAGGATGGCAAAGGAATGATTTCAGGACATAATGATTAATTTGAACTTGAGAATCCATTTCATAAAAAGTCAGTGCCATTCTTTATATTGTGGAACTCTGATGAGTGAAATTGGAAACAACAGAATTCAAAGTAGCTTAATATAGAAGAACTTAGAGTCTACTCACTATAAATGAAGATAAAGAAATATCTCTCAGGGCCTAAAAGTTGCATGAAGCCAGTCAAAAATGTTAAACATCTCCTTCAGCAGATCCAAAAGTATAATGAACCCTTAACCTTTCATGTAACATCAGCATTTCATGGAAGGAAAATTATAAAAGCATTATCCATTTCGTTAAATAAATGGAAAAATGCCATAGAATTTGAATATCTGGACCATCACATCTTGATTTCACTAAAATTGAGCATTGAAACGAGGCTATAGTGTGATATACAGTGATTCGTTTCAGACTCATGATCGAAACTTGATAAGTTAATAGTCCAACTGCAGGGGAGGAACTGGTTATATGCTTCTACCTCTTCTGGAACAATGGGAGAAGCACACTCTGGGAAACTGCTAGCAATCCCAAGCCACGCGCAGCAATGCTGAGGTCGTCCTTCTGGACCAAACATGGTGTTCCGAAATACCTAATTTAAGAATATAGCTCATGCAATTAGTAAGTCAAGTTGGAATTTTAGGATGAAAGGAAAATGTGAGTCCATATCTAAACCAAAGGTTTAATGCTACGGTAGAAAACTAGTCCCTGTTTTCTTCTTTTTTGTTTGTTTGTGGGGAGGGAAGGGGGGCACTCACAGCTGTGAGATGTTGGTGATAGAAATACAGCTTCCTAAGACTACCATGCTT